CTGAGACATGAGACAGGAGGAGGAAACTTAGTTCATCTCTTTCAGCTTCAGTGAGAGAGCGATGAGGTTTATGAAGATCTGCTGCACAGGAAACATCATGATGTTCACCTGTCATATCCAGGTGAACATGGTGAGACAGCAATCAACACACAGTGAAAGCAGAGACAAACAACGCTACACATTACATTACACACACACACACACACACGCACACACAGAAACACACACACCCACCCACACACACACACAGAAACACACACACAGAAACATAAACACAAGTGCACACAAACATAAACACAAACACACATAAATACAGAAACACACACACACACACACACACACACACACACACACACAGAAACAGAAACACACACCCACACACACAGAAACACAAGTGCACACAAACATTAACACAAACACACATAAATACAGAAACACACACACACACGCACACACACACACACACACACACACACATTGGTCAGTCTTGCTGCTCACTGCTCTCTAGCTCCACCCAGAGGACAGGAGAGTGAGGTGCTGATGTATTGTGAGTGATGTTTTTATTGTCATTTCAAACAGTGTGACCGCTTCACTGTTCAATGCAGTGAGGCGAGATCAGTCATTCTGGTAATGTGTGTGTGTAAGACTTTTATTTAAGTCTGAGGTCTGAAGAAATAATTTATTACTAACAGTAGAATAAAACGATTAAAAATGTAAGACTGAGTGACATAAAGAGGAGAAGTATTATATATAACGGGGGCTTGGGAGGGGGGGGGGCAGTAACTTAGTCTAGGGTCTTGGTCTGAGGGTCGCTAGCTCAAGTCTGGGTGTGGACCTGAGCATGGAAGTTGGTCTGCTAGCTGGAGAAGTCCCAGGTCACTTCTGGAGTACTGCTGAGGCAAGCCCCCAACAGACCTGCTCCCCTAGCCTACCCACTCTGAGGTCTCTCCATTAATGACAGATCCTATTTGTGTGTGTGTGTGTGTGACAGTGTGTGTGTGAGTGTGAGTGTGTGTTTGTTTCAGATATGTATGAGCAGCTTGTGTCTCTATAACAGTGTAAACCAGAATATACCCTTAGGTGTTAATAAAGTTTGTCAAACTACAAAATAAATAAAAAAAATTATATAGATATAAATGTATAAAAATCTGTTAAACAAGCAAAGTTATATTTCCAGATGTTCTTTGTTTGAATGTTTAACTTTATAAAACTTTATTCCTTCACAGCTCTGAGACTTAAATATTTCATCTTTGTTTTTCTTTTAGGTTTATGGGGTACTTTCATTTTATTTAGTCTTATTTATACTTCACTTTGTATAAAAAGCTAAGTATTTTGTTTCCAGGACAACAGAGAGGGAGGGAGAGAGAGACACGGGGGCGGGACCGACAGTATGGGCGGGGCTTCGTGTCTCGATGTTTTGGCGCTTTAAGGTCAGAAGTTTCTCGTCAGACTCTCAGACGGGGAAGCTGCTCCGTGTGTGTGTTAGTGTGAGTTTCAGTGTGTGTGTTCCGATCAAAGGAGGAGCTAACTGTCCGCCGTGATGGAGAGACGATCAGCCTGTCAGACACACCTGAGGGCGAACAGAACCGCCCTCTGGTTCTGTTTGGTTCTGTTGTTCTCAGCTGGAGGTACGAGAACACACACACACACACACACACACACACACACACACACACACACACACACACACAGCTGTTTGTCGCGCTAGTATCGATGTTGTTTTAAACCTTGGTTTCATGTTTTATTAAGGATAGGAAGTTCGCGCAGACTCACATTATCTCGTTATAACAGTTTGATCGGACAATTCAATGATTCGTGGAGGAGCTCACACATGCGCACTGCTGCTCTCTGAAACTTCAACTTTACAAACTAAGGAGAGCTGCGGAGTCTGTAGTTGTGCTTTAGATAGGCTATCATCTCTTTTTGTCCAGGTAGACCAGTGACGCTGCTGACGTCACTCACCTGTGAGTGTCCTCTGTCTGCTGCTCTGTCCGATATTTGAATCAGTGTCGTGCTTCAGACTCTAAGCTGTTGTTGTTTGTTTAGTTCCTTTATCTTGTTTCTGTTGTTGTGTTATTATTATTGTTATTGTTCTGGTCTAAAGCCCCCCCCCCCCAGTGAAAATCGTGCCGTCAGAGTCATATGTCGAGGTGTTTAGAATCAAAAAGAGAAACAGTGCTTCTTCACATTTAAAGAAAAGATTATTCATCATCACTGAGGTCAGTCTGTCTACATTTTACAAAGTGTTCAGGGCTGACGAGGAGCGACGGTTTCCCAGCGCAATTGTTTGTTAAAGGTTTGGTTCTTTGATCATTATAACAGATTATATCTTCTAAATTAGTGTTTGTGTGATCTAGACAGTGTGCAGCAGTTTGAATGCAGCTTTTAGTCATCACTGACTTCTCCAGTAGTGGCCTTAGACTTTCATCTTCTATGGTGCTGGTGGTCGTGATGGTGGTTGTCGTTGTCATGGCGCTGGTGATGGGGATTGTTGCTGTGGTTGTTTTGTTGGTTGTCATTGACATGGTGTTAGTAATAACGGTTGTCGTGGTGATGGTCCTGGTGGTGGTGGTCATGATGGTTGTCTTGGTGGTGGTGATGGTTTTCATGGTGGTTGTGTTGTGGTGGTAGTAATCCTGATGGTTGAGGCAGTAGTCGTGGTGGAGGTGGTAATCCAGGTGGTGGTGGTGATTGTAATGGCGGTCGTCGTGGTAAGCGTGGTGGTGATCCTGGTCATGGTGGTCACGGTGGTCGTTGTGGTGGTCATGATGGCGGTGGTCGTTCTGTGAAGTTGTCCAGATCCCCTCCCGGAGTGAAAGTCCAGCTTTAACTTCCGGTCAGAGCCACTAGTTGCCGTTTGTCTGCAAGGCCGTGGTTTAGAGTTTTAGAGATCAGGATTGTGGAAACTTTAACCGTCAACACGATGGTTAAACTGGTTGAGCGAGAGTCGTTGGAGTTTGTTTCCTCGCCGTCGGAGGAGAAACATGCTCTTTGCTCTCGTTTGACACGGTGTGTTTATTACCTGAGTTTTTAAACAGTGAGGGGATCTTTTCCTGCAGCTCTGTTAGACTCCAATAAAACTCCCAAAATGCATCACTCTGACTTTAGGACCCCCCTCCCCGTCTTTTGTTTGTGAGTTTCCTTCCTGTTACAGAAAAAGAAACAGCTGTTTGAGCTGATGACACTGAAAAAAAATACAGGACAGACACAGCTCAACTCCACCAGGGGGACACACTCCCCCCTCCTCTGCTTTACCCTCCATCACCCTCCTCACCCTCCATCACCCCTCCTCTGCTTTACCCTCCATCACCCTCCTCACCCTCCCTCATCCCTCCTCTGCTTTACCCTCCATCACCCTCCTCACCCTCCATCACCCCTCCTCTGCTTTACCCTCCATCACCCTCCATCACCCCTCCTCTGCTTTACCCTCCATCACCCTCCCTCACCCCTCCTCACCCTCCATCACCCCTCCTCACCCTCCTCACCCTCCTCACCCTCCATCACCCCTCCTCACCCTCCTCACCCTCCATCACCCCTCCTCTGCTTTACCCTCCATCACCCTCCATCACCCCTCCTCTGCTTTACCCTCCATCACCCTCCATCACCCCTCCTCTGCTTTACCCTCCTCACCCTCCATCACCCCTCCTCTGCTTTACCCTCCATCACCCTCCTCACCCTCCATCACCCCTCCTCACCCTCCCTCACCCCTCCTCTGCTTTACCCTCCTCACCCTCCTCACCCTCCATCACCCCTCCTCTGCGAGAGAGAGAGAGAGAGAGAGAGAGAGAGAGGTCTCTCTTTGTTGCACAAAAATGGAAGCGGTTTGTGCAACTTATGTGCAGGAACTTGTCTTGAAAACAAGAACTGAGTCACAACTGGGTTTCTGACACTTCTCTGTGGTGTTGCCATGGTGATGCATTTTTACGCTGTTCACTGAGCTATTAAACAGAAGAACAATAGACTGAACAGGAAGTTAGTGTTGAAAAGAGGAGCTTTAAAGATGGAGAACATGAACTACAGTTTGTAATGATTTCTGTTTCTGTGTTCGTTACAACACAACAAAGAGTCCGTTTAAACTTTCAAAATAAAGGTGCTGCAGGAAATGAAGAAATTTTGAAGAAACACTGTGACACAAAAAACCTTGTTACACAACAAGAGAAAGAAGAGGAACACACACCTACACACATGCACGCACGCACGCACTCACACATGCACACACACACATGCACACACACATACACACTAACACAAGCACACACAGACACACACACAGAAACCTCACAAAGCACACATACAGTTAATAAGTTAAAGTAATGCAATGCAATGCAGCAATGACCCACAAACACTTCCTGTTTTGACTTCTGTACCACTTCCTTTGCGTCTGTGTGTGTGTGTGTGTGGGTGTGTGTGTGGGTGTGGTTTTCGTGTTTGAGGCTTTAAGTGAAACTAAAGGGGGGTGGGGGGGTTAATCTGGATCCTCCTGCTGGTTTCATTAACGCCTCCTGTAATGAGTCTGATACCATCAACACTACGTGTGTGTGTGTGCTAGTGTGCGTGTGTGTGTGCGCGCGTGTGTGTGTGTGCTTGTGTTAGTGTGCGTGTGTGTGCGTGCTTGTGTTACTGTGTGTGTGCTTGTGTTAGTGTGCGTGTGTGCATGCTTGTGTTACTGTGTGTGTGCTTGTGTTAGTGTGCGTGTGTGCGTGCTTGTGTTACTGTGTGTGTGTGCGTGTGTGTCTGTCTGTCAAAGTGCAACAGGTGTCATCAGGATTAAACAAAGCAGGTCTGTCTGTGGCCCTCAGGGGCCTCAAGGGACTGACAGATCAGAGATCAGGGAGGTAACTTAAACCGAAACTGTGTGTGTGTGTGTGTGTGTGTGTGTGTGTGTGTGTGTGTGTGTGTGTTGTGCACAGTCAGCTCCATCTGATCTGTTAATGAGGTTAGACTGAGACAGCTGTGCTTCATGTGAACGTAACACTCTCTCTCTCAGACACAAACACACA